GATAGACTTTCATTGGCTGTGTCACAAACCCCCCAGTGAACTATTATCACTGAAATAACCTACTGGCTCTTTTAAAAAATATATTTTTATTGATTTTAGTGGGGAACGGAGAAGGAGATAGAAACATCAATGAGAGAAAATCATTGATTGGTTGCCTCCTGCACACCCTACTGGGGATTGAGCCCACAACCTGGACATGTGCCCTTGACAAGAATTCAAATCTAGGACCCTTTAGTCCAAGGCCAATACTCTATCCACTGAGCCAAACCTGGTAGGGCAACCTACTGGCTCTTAATTACCACATTTGCACACACATTGTAATAAAGCACTAACACAAAAGGTTGATTTGCAGATTAAAATCACCCAAACCACAGCTCTAATTTCCATGATCCTTGTCTTGCATTTAAAGTCCATCAAAGAAGGATCAATTCTGATTTGTTTGGGCTCTATTAGCTCAAGTTCAGAAAAATGGTTAAGATTAAGAAGTATTTTAGTTCTAGTCTGTAGGTCTGGTTCATAGGCTAATTTAGTGACCGACTTTGAATTAATTCCTTCTATTCATAAATTAAATTACAGTAAAATAAAATAAATATCTATTTCATTAGTTTAAGCATGTGCATATTTAAAGCAGCATGAATAGTTGTTGGTTCCTTCTATAGAATTCTGACTTTTTGAGAATAGGCTTAGGATGTGTAATGTTGTATGCCAGGGGGAAAAATACAACAATTTAATATAATTGTCCATTTATCATTACTTAAAGTTTTCAGGAGACAGACAAAGAGATCAGTAGTGTAGGTTTCCCCCCCTCTCCTGGTTTCAGAGATAATAGGTATGGAAGTGTTTTTTGAACAAGTAAAAGCACTCGTAAATGTCAGGCTTTGTGATTGCTGTCATTTTTAGTAATCAGTACGGAGGTCTATAATGGCTTAAATATGCCATTTGCATTGTAACCAAGGTAGTTAAGAATGAACCTGATTTTTATGGAAATATGTCACATGTAATCAGATTGACATTGCTCATTGGATGGTTAGATGTGATAAATTGCCATCTGCAATATTATCACAGGAGGTGACCCTGAAAGTCTGAAGAGATTTGTAACAGCATTAGCTGTGTGACCTTCTCAAAGTCACCATAATTTCTGGGTCTCACTTTCTCTATTAGATGATGGCATATTCAGCAGTCAATTGTCATGTTAACTGGGGATGGGGTACAATAAAGAACTATAATTCTCAAGCCATTTTACTAATACATTTAAACCTCACTGATTTGGACTAACAGAAGGGAGGGGTTGTCTGAATTAAAAAGTCATGAATTACAAAATCTGTTTGAAGAATGGCAATTTTACTACTTTAAGTCTATTTTGTAATTTTAACTCACTATAAAACATTGCTTTGTGGAGGTCTTTGTGAGCACTACTTTAGCAGATATATTTGTAATGAATATGATTATATCTAATAGATGCTTCCAACATTTGAAAAAGGTTTGTTCTCTTAAAGAAAAATTCAACAGACGATCTAGTCCCAACTCTTCATTTGCTTAACAAACCTCTTGGCTGCATCCCTGATAATATAAAGTTAGATTATAGACTGGCCCCTGTTCAGTTTATCACAGATTACAAATTAGAGGGCTCCAAATTAATGAGGTTTCACTGCCTTTTCTACTTTCTTATCCATTGATTTGTTTTTGGCATTACCACTAAGTAGTGGTAAAAGAGAGTCAAGTTCATCTCTTGCCCCTTCTCTCAATCACTTTCAGAAAACAGCAGGTACCATAGCAAGAAGGAAGAAGATAACGGCAAGCTCCTTGGTAATCCAGAATCGGAATAAGCAATCATTGGATATGCAGCACTGATCATACTATTATCCATAGTTGAGAAAACGGTTGACTTATTTTGAAAGATTTGCTGGAACAATGACTGAAAAAAGTGATTTGAAGGATACCTGGCAGGTAGCACTCTCATCAAAGAAGTTGAAAACATTTAAGATCTACTGAAATATTTTTCTATTTGCATATAAAAATAATATAGTCTGGAAATTATGGGTTGGCGATCAAGTTACTTGATAACTTTGCAACAGTATCAGCTGAGAAAAGAAAGTTGATTGTTGGTTGTAATTAGTAAATAGCTGGTCTAAAGTTTCATGGGTCTTCATGATACCAAAACATCTGGGTAAAAAGTAAAAATTCAGCCAAATGTGTGTAGATTTTTTTTATGTAACATCAAACATTTGGTTATTTGAAAACTTCTGGGCAGTTGGCATCATGTGGATGTTTTAGAGTCATCTTGAAACAGTCCATAGCTCCTTTTAACCATGCTGAGATGAATTCCTCAGAGTAATGTATCCAATCCAGCTCAATTTTCATTCCACAACTAATTTCAATGATATAATTGGGTTCTCTGTGGCCTGCTATTAACATGAGAAGAAGACCAGGAAGAAGGTGCTAAATACTCTAGGCATCAGGTTAGCCATTCCAAAACTCAAATGGGTCAAAAGCTTGGCTAAACTACCAATGTCATTAGTTCACATAGGTGGGAAAGGAAGTTACTGTTTTTTGACACATAGTAAAACCTTGATTAATTGGAATCCATAAGGAATGAATGGAATGTTCAGTGCTCATTTTGTTTCATTCTTGGTTAATAATATTTTCCCCTCAAAATGTTTGTATCCACTTTTTTCCCCCCTCTGGGAAGAAGCCTCTAATATTTGAGGATAAATCCAGATGGAGAGAAGATATAGGAGACAGAGTTGAATGTGACCTAACCACATGTGATTTAATCACTTGGCAAGTGATTAAAAAATCAATTCCTTTCAGTCTTCTCTTTTAGTACTATTGCTGCTTTCTCATCATTGTGGATTACTTGGGGGGGGGTTCTCAATTCAGTTAATTGGGGTTCTGGTTAGGTGAGTTCTGGTTAATCAAGGTTTTACAATAAAAGACCTCACAATACTTGGTAAGATTATGTGCTGAAGAAAGTTATTCTCAAATTTATTTCTTTGAATATACTCTGTATTACCCTGTTTCCCCGAAAATAAGACAGTGTCTTATATTAATTTTTTCTCCCAAAGTTGCGCTAGGTCTTATTTTCAGGGGATGTCTTATCTTTCCATGCGCTAGGTCTTATTTTCGGAGGATGTCTTATTTTCAGGGAAACACGGTAGTGTTTCTAAAACCATATTATTCTGCAGACTGGTAAACTAACTTTTCTCTCAGGATGCTGAAGAATGGAGAGGGAAAGTAGAACAGAGGTGTAACCATTGTCTTTGAAGGAGAAAAGTTTTATCTTGCCTGTTTGATGATCTGTGGTTGGGAAACACTGTTCTTCACCTTAAGATGCCCATGAATTCTTGGTTGTACAACAGTTGATCTTACATGTTTCAATATAATTGTCATTCCCTTTGGGCCATGGAGAATTCTGTTTTCAGATCCTCTCCTGTACTTACCCAATCTGCCCTTCCATCATTTGGTAACTTGACTTCTGAGCTTGCTTCCATTTCTTGTTGTTTGGAGGGAGACTGACTATTCATTCTTACTAGCCCTGAAGAGCATTAAGGAGTCAAAGGAATGCCAAGTAAGATGTGTTTTTTTCATAATGGTAGCCTGGATAACAATGTGACCTACCTGAACCAAGAACATGCCTAAGAAAGCCAAATCAGGAATTCATACACAAAGCGTACACAGGCGACACACTTGTTTAAATATACAAAATGTCTTTGCAAAGTCTATATATGAGGTGGCCTATTGAATAAAGATCCCATTTAACTTGAAACCAAGCTTGTTTTTGGCTTTCAAGTTAAGTGGGGCCAGCTTAAATAGGCCATCACATATAGAAAACAACATCTCATCACTCAAACACATAATTGAAGAAGCCAACTCTAATCAACCAACCAACATCTATGAGCAACATCATGCCTTAGGGGGAAAAAAGAGAGTGTAACCTGACTTTTTAGTAGATGGATTTGATTTCTCCCACCACTCAGCTGAGGCAGGTGGGGGACAGTTTTAAGGAAAGCCTTGGGCTATTGAAAGCATAAGGCAGTAAAACCAACACCATAGTCTTCACAAGGCAACCAGTCTGGTGTATGAGGGGAAGGAAGAGGTGTGGATAGGGAGCCTCTGTCTGGGAGTTAAAGAAGGGACCCAAGTTAGATCAAAAATGCAGGCAGCGCCATGAAATCTTTCTGATTCCCAAAGCTGCCAGGCAGGGGAATAACCTGGTCATTTCATTTTATGTGTGAGTCTTGTGCTCTCTCCTCAATAATAAGATAACAGTCTTGCCGATTACTCGTCACTAAGGGTACCCGGTTGTGGTGACATTGAGGCTGACCTTGGAGTCACCGCCCCCGCTGCCGCACTCTCCTTTGTCGTACCACCATTTGTTTTTCAATTTGTCCAAGAGGCCTTGCTCATTCAGTTTTAATACTGCCAGGTTAACAGCATTTCTTGAAACGATAAAACATAACTTGTAAGAAAATGCACAAATGCTTAGGAAATCGTTAACGTATAAAAAGGAGCACAAGAGGACAAATTGGCTAAATTTCACAGAACGTGGAGCTATAAAAATGTCTGTACAGCAAATACAGGGTTAAATATTGGAAGGTGGCATGGAGGATAACATTTGCTCAAAACTGAAGTGTGCGGGATGGGGAAATTGTCTTTGAGAAAAAAAGTAACAAGAACACCACATCCATGCAATTAACATTCGTCACATATGGCACCATAACTTGGCTTTTACCATTTAAATTGAAAAAGCCGTTGAACTGTAAAATTAAAACAGCAACAAACAGTCAGAGAGGACAACACAGAGAGAGAACATTAAAAAAAATGGATGCATTAAATAGATGAAACCATAATTTACCGTCTTATTTAACTCCATGGAATATTGTAGATTTTAAACTTTTAAAAGTTACCTCAAAATCCACAAGAAAGAAAATGACAACAAAATGCATCAGGGTAGGTGGAATACTATAACAACACGGATATTGTTATATTATTCCACCCACCTTAATGCTGAGCCTTTAGGGGTTGCCACACCATAGCCTTTGGAATCCAGATTTCCACCAACTTTCATCGTGTCACATGGTTTTCTCTGCTCAATGTACTCATTCATGGTTGACTCCAACAGGAAGGCGAACTTTCCCTTGGACTTCCGCACTCGGGCCACGCCGTCTGCTGTTGTTTTGGTAAATACAGATGGCTCTGCTGATTTCATGTAAGACCACATTTTCTCATAAACAGCAATTTTGGACCTCTGCAACAGAGATAAAACTTCTTAGAGCTACTATTTATTAAAACTGGAAAAGGCCCCAGTGCATTTGAAAAAAAATGTATTCAAACATTTTTATTATAATCCATAATAAGCAAAGCAACCCAGTAGATATGTATATATAAACATGGTTCCAAAATAGATTTCTCAAACCACACTCATCCTTGTTTTGTGTGATGCTTTATGATATTTTCTATTCTATCCATTTAATTCACTTAAAAATGCTGGTCAGGACCCACTAAATTGATTTCATGGCTCTACAAATGGGTTGCAATCTAGTTTGAAAAGCGCTTTCTTAGTTCAGTCTTCATCTTAATGCAGAAATCTCCCTGACAATATTATGCTGTGATTACCATTTACCTGCCTGAAAAAAAAAAGGCCATTGAAAGGCAGTGTACAACCATTTAGTCAGCCCACTCCAGCACAGGATATTAATTATTATAAGAAAGCACTTCCTTATTCTGAACTGACATTTGGTTCTCTATAACTCCCACCCTTTAACACTACCTGCTAGAGCTATACAAAGCGGTTCTGTTCCTTCTTCTACAGATGGTTCTTCAAATATTGCAAGGCTGTTATTATGCCCCCTTCTCATCTCTTGATCAGGCTAGCTCTACCTACATCTACTACTATTTCCAAAACTCTCACAAGTTTGGTCTTTCTTCCATAGGCCCATTCTAGTAGCAAGGTCTCTTAAATTAGAGTTTCTAGAAATAAACATGACATTCCAGAAATATAAGATAAAAAAGAAAACTGATGTTTTGCCACTAGAGCATTATTTTCTATCAGTGCTGCCTGAGTTTGCATTAACATATTTAATCTTTCATCTATTCTTTCACAACTTTAAAGTACTCTACTGGAGGTATGAGAATATAACACAGTGAATATAGTCCCTCCATCAACTCAGGTTGAGGCCAAACTAAAAATGTTAATATTTTCTATCAAGTCAAGTTTTCCTCATCTTACCCTTTTGAAATTAATTTAAATTTGAATTTAATTTTATTAAATTTCATCTCTATTTAGGTAGTCCTTAAACATGTGTTAAATGCATATAGTTCTATGCTAGATATTCTGGAGAATATAAAGGAAGCATGGTCTCAATGACTCCATGACTTCCAAGTCGGTTGAGATTTAGGTAGTTGGGAGTGAAAACCCCAGAGAAAGAGTCTAAAGTCATATTTGGTCAGAGGTAAGATAACATGAAAGAAATTATAAACATATGCTATATTTTCAGTAGGTTTTTACATATACAATATGATTTTATATATACAATATGATTTTAAATTTTTTATTACACTCTTTTTTTAAAAAAATCTTTATTGTTAAGATTATTACAGTTGCTCCTCGTTCCCCCCCTATAGCTCCCCTCTACCTGGTTACCACCCCTCCCCCTGCCCTTATACGCCCCCCCCCCCACACACACTGTCCTTGTCCATAGGTATATGATTTTTGTTCAGTTTCTACTTGCATCACCACATCCCCTTCTCCCCAAGAATTGTCAGTCCACTCCCTTTCTATGCTCCTGATTCTATTATATTCACCAATTTTATTCACTTGACTTTTAGATTCACTTGTTTATAGATATGTATTTACTGTCACTTTGTTGTTCATAACTTTTATCTTTACCTTTTTCTTCTTCTTCCTCTTCTTAGAGAATACCCTTCAACTTTCATATAATACTGTTTTGGAGGTAATGAACTCCTTTAGCTTTTTCTTATCTGTGAAGCTCTTTATCTGACCTTCAATTCTAAATGATAGCTTTGCTGGGTAGAGTAATCTTGGTTGTAGGTTCTTACTATTTATCGCTTTGAATATTTCTTGCCACTCCCCTCTGGCCTGCATAGTTTCTGTTGAGAAATCAGCTGACAGTCATATGGGTACTCCCTTATGGGTAATTAACTTTTCTCTTGCTGCTTTTAATATTCTCTCTTTGTCTTTTGCCTTTGGCAATTTAATTTATGATGTGTCTTGGTGTGGTCCTTTTTGGATTCCTTTTGTTTGGGGTTCTCTGTGCTTCCTGGACTTGTAAGTCCATTTCTTTCACCAGGCAGGGGAAGTTTTCTGTCATTATTTCTTCAAATAGGCTTTCAGTATCTTGCTCTCTCTCTTCTTCTGGCACCCCTGTAATTTGGATGTTGATATGCTTGAAGTCCCAGAGGCTCCTTACACTATCTTCATACTTTTGGATTCTTTTTTCCTTTTGTTTTTCTGTTTGGGTATTTTTTGCTTCTTTGTATTTTAAATCTTTGACTTGATTCTTGTGTTCCTCTAGTCTGCTGTTGGATCTCTGTATATTATTCTTTATTTCAGTCAGTGTATGCTTAATTTCTAATTGGTCCCTTTTCATATCCTTGAGGGTCTCATTATATTTCTCAGAGGGTTCTAGAAGATTCTTGAGTAAACTTATAACTGTGGTTTTGAACTCTATATTCAGTAATTTGCTTTCCTCCAGTTCTTTCATTTGTGACCTGTTTCTTTGTCTTTGTATTTTGCCTGCTTTCCTGTGTTGATAGAGTGTCTTTGTGTGGTAGGTGTCCTATAGGGCCCAGTGGCTCAGCCTCACCAATTACCTGAGGTGGACTCTCTTGGTGCCCCCCTTTGTGAGCTGTGTGCATAGTTTTGTTGTAATTAAGCCTTTATTGCTGTTGGTATCACTGGGAGGAATTGATCTTCAGGCCAATTGGCTGTGAGGATCAGTTTTGTCTACAATGGGAGAACTTCTGTGCTGGAGACACCCTTAAGGGGCTGGACTAGGTTCAGTGGGGCTTTGGCACTCACTGAGTCTGCCCCTTGAGTGTGTCTCTTATGGATGTGAAGAATTATAATCTGGATGGTCTCACTCTGACCACTAGGTACACTGGCTCTTGGATCTCCAAGGAGGTGCAAAGTCAGCCACTGCCTGAGCCCACCCAGAAGGAGCTACAGAGAGATTTGCAGATTTCTCCTCTTTGTTTGGGGTTTGGAGATGCCCATATGACGTCCAGCTGTAAAGCTGCTGTGCAACCTTGGGCCTTCTTTTGTTGGTTCTCAGGCTCTCTGACCTAGCTGCAGTTTGACAGGTTTTTAGGTGGATAAAGGCCAGGCCATTCATATGCCAAAGCCTCTGTGCACAGCTTGGGTGGGGTTGTAAATTGGGTGGGGCAGGGTCTCAGGGAATCACCAGGGCAGAGCAAATAGCAATGGCTACCAGTCAGCCCTGCCCTGTAGAGGCCCCCAGGTCTCTGTGTCCATGGCACCATGCAGGAAAAATGATCGCTGTAAGCACCTCTGAGAGAAAGCTGCCCTTGAGTTCCAGCCTGATGCCAGACAGTCCAGTTTCTCTCTGTATGAGTCTGGTTCCCCAGAGTCTCACCCAGAACTAGAGTTCAGAGCAGTTGGGAGCTTGTATACCTCTCCTGATTGAAAAAGACATTGTACCCAGCTGTCATCCCCTTTTGCGTGTGAGCCTCTGTACCTCCACACTTCCACACCTCCTCACCTCCTACAGGACTCAGTGCACTTTTCTCTTTTCTTCTAGTTGTAGAATTTCCACTGAGCCAGCCTTCCCATGGTTCTGGATGATATTCATCTTATCTTTTAGTTGTAGTTTTAATGTGGTTGTGCATGGCAGCAAGTTCAGGTGTTTATCTATGCTGCCATCTTGGTTGTCCTCAACCTTCAGTTGTCTTTTTATGGGGTTTCCTTGATCCTGCTTCAGCTTATTTGATTGTTTATTTAGTTGCTTTTTCCCCTGGACTTTGGCAAGCTACATTGCATCTTTTTTGAAACCTGCTTAGACCAGCTGAAATAATTTCATAGGGCTGGAATTCCTGGAGCTATCACCATGGAAACTATGCATTGTGTTTATGGCAATCAAATCCTCACTGAGGCCTTCACTGAGTCACTGAAATGGTTTACTGAGACTGGAACATGAGGAACAGAAAAAAAAAAGCCAATATGGCTTAAGCCAAATGAACAAGAGAGTTTGGTAGGAAATGAGCTTAGGGGAATAATCAGAGGTCAGATCTAGTAGGGCTCTGTAGGTCATGGTAAAAAGTTTGGATTTATTCTACATGTGATAAGAAACTATTGGAGGATTTGAGGTGGGATGGGATAAGAGCTGAATTAAAATTTTAAAGGATTACTCTAGCTGTTATATAAAGAACCAACTAAGGTGGGCAAGAGTGGAAACAAGAAGGTTGGTTAGGTGACTCTTTTCATAGTTCAGGGGAGTTTGTGGCATGGACTAGGCTGGGAGAAATGGAGGTGGAGGGAAGAGATTGATATCAATATATGTTTTAGGGAGAAAGTGGAAAACTCTCTCTGATGGACATTTTCATCTGATTGTCTCATAGATACTTTAAGATTAAACATTTTAAACCAAATATATTATCTTCCTTGTATAGCTTGGCTCTCCTAAATTCTATCAGTAAAGCACCTAACACCCAAGCTAGGTGCTTTTTATTTGTTATGCCATGTTCATTCTAACATAGAAATGCTTGTAGAATCTGTCCTTTTGTATTCTTTTCATTCTCATTACCATTGTCCTGGGGTAGGCTCCCATCAGTTTTTGGTCTGGACTACATTGCCTCCTAACTGATCTACTGTTTTCATCTCCTAATTTATCCAGTGATCTTTCCAAATGTAAATCTGAGAAGCTACTTCCTTGTTTAAAATTCTGATAGTACCTACAGGACAAAATCCATTTCTTATGTATGAGTCTTTATGATCTTGGATACATTCTTTTATGATCCAGTCATACTGGACTACTATTCACTATTCACTGAAATGTGCTACACACTTTCACATCTTATGCCTTTGGTTATGCTTTTGCTTTTGCCTGAATTATCTCTATTCACCCTACAAGATCTATAATAAACATCATGTCTTCTGTGAAACCTTTTCTGACGCTCCTTTGCCCCACAGACATTCTTTCTCGGCTACCTACCTGCCAAAAGCAGTTTGCTCATACTTTTGCTATAGAGCTGATTATATTACTTTAAGGT